GATCAAACTGATATGTCGTGTTTAAATATGACATTACACGATATAAAACAGACCCCTTGCGCTAATATTAACCCCAATGACCCTTGTACAAGCAGTGATTATAAAAACAACGACATATTCGATTCTATATGCGTTGGAAATGACTATCGACCTGACAAAACATATTACAATAAAGACTTTACTAAGAATTTATACACATCGCTGTACAGTATGAGCGTTAGTGAACTTAGCCTATGGTCTATAGACGGTTCGTATTTCAAGGATAAAAGGAACCGCGCAGCAGGACACCGCGGACACGAAGGCTACAGAGCCACAGAGCCACGGAAGATCGCGCTTCAGTCTCTCACATAGTGGTTAGCTGCGCATGCGCGGCTACCCACAAAAATAAAGAAAAATAAAGAAATACGTCCAATAGCTGCTAGGAATACTCCGATTTCGTTCTATTCGATGTAAGCCTCTTGTGTCTGATATTTATCTCTATACTGTACTCACATAATAAACAAGTTCATGGTTGGTTTGTTTGTACGGCGTTTACTACTTACTACTCGCGGTTGATTGCTAAACTCACTCGTTTTCTGCGCTTGCTTGCGTTTAAAGCGATTCTTCATAACTGCATAGTAAATAAAACCGTGCGTATACGCACTTACCAATCATGAAGCAATCTGTATTATCATATATTTAGATATTGGCCCTGATTGTTTACCTGCCCAGGCATCGGTTGAATAATGGATGTAAAACTGATTTTCTTGGTTATTCGTATCAAGTCCGCGTGTAATATAGAAAAATATCTAAAAATGACTAGATTCTTTGCACGAACTGCAGCTCACAAGTGAATGAATTTTCTTCGCTGACTTCAAGGAAATGAAAGGTTGTTATTCCTTAAATTTATTAAAAATTTGCCAAAGGAGGAAGTATCAATTAAGCAGTGATATTGCACAATCGTTCGTTTTTTTACTTACATAGTTATTTTAATTAACACTTAATGTATCATGAGCAACAGAATATCGAGTTCCTTCGGCACTATTAGAGAGATATGCACTTCCTTATTGTTAGTTCTCCTAGACTGTATATTTTATTTCTAGTGAGATTCTCCCACGGGGTTCCAAGAAACAAGAAAACAAGGCATATAGTTTGCAATGGGAACACAGGGGAATAAAGCCAAAACTAGTAGGGGGTAAAAGAATATGCAATACAAGGGAACATGGTCAACTATTTGTGGACTAGGACAATGGAACAAAGGAAAATCTTCCAAGGAAACACAGACTACCTCTGGGAAACCCTAGTCTGTATGGCGCGGGTTGCGAGTCGATAGAAATGGCGCGGGTCCAGTAAAAATGGCGGGGGTAACAAGTTCCGAGGCGCGGGTAACAAGTTCCGAGATCAATTGCCCGGTACTTATATTCAAGATGGCGGCTATTTTAACTAAAAATTCTGCAATTAATATTCAGTCAAATATCGTCTCATTCTGTGGAAACTCTGCGAGCTTTAACCTTAAACTAACAGACATCAATTAACTTAAGGTAATTCCGCAGTTTTGTATTGCGCACTTTTACTGCGCACATCTTATAACTTATAATTTCATCCATTATACGTACCGTTAAAAAAAATCATTTTATGACAATTTTATGTTCATTTCAAAACATCTTTGGTTATATTCGTGCAAAGAATTACGTTAAAATCAATGTTTTCAAAAAAGGCATACAAAAGTGTAGCTAGGGTTCCCTGTGTCTGCAGTATATTTATTTACTTGTATTTCACGTTTTAATGTCACAATTCCCTAAAAAGATCGGTGACCCCCGTTTTTTAACTGATAATTTATTTCTTTAGTGCATTTTACATTTCATATCCGAAATTAAAAGAAAAATCATTTCTGGATCTTGAAAAAAATATCCTTTATCAATGCATGTTCTCAAAGAAAGATATGTAAAGAAATGTGGAAAAGACATTTGTGGATCAGAATTGTACACGTTAGTAGTTTCATTTTGCTCAAAACACAATATCTTTTCAAAAATAATTACAAGATAGGTTTACTAAAGCAAAATCCGCGCTAAAAACGTCAATAAATATCGGCTGTTGTGATTTTGCTGTTACTCGTAATGAGCGTCAAGATGGTGCCATATTGGGGTAAAGGTGGTATATTGTGATTGTCATATCTTCTTAACGAGTTCGGTGACCCCGACTTTTTTGTGTGATTTACTTTAAGTATATCATAAACTCCATGCCTGGGAAGTTTCAGCACATTCTCATTTCGGGAACAATTACTGCGGAATTACCTTATGTAAGGCCCGGTTTAGACGCCGTGCTTTTCATGAGCCAAACTTAATTCACTATTTTACTCGAGTAAAATATGCGTACTTCTAATTTTGATTTAGACAGGCGTGCTTTTCATGAGCCGTACTTAATAATTTGCGCTGCTTCACTTCGAAAGCTGGGGCGAGTGACATTTTATAATAAGAAAAAAGGGTTTATCACATACAATCTTGGCATTTCTGAGCGTCTACAGGTTATTAAAAATTTCAACTGCTTTTTGAAAAGCTTTATTACTACAAACATACATAATGCCTGGATATAATGTGTGGGAAAACGAGACCTATACTCTATAGGCTTAGGGCGAGTTTTTCCACGTAATTGGAGTTCTTCCAAACTACTACAAATGTTTCTATTGTATGGGTCACACATAATAAATGTTTTATATTTATTTCATAATATAACTAAAAAAGATTTGTAGTAGACTCGATATATTTACAAATTCTCATTAGGGACTGGTCATAAAGTAACTGCTAGGGAGGGCTGGAAATAAATCACAAATTTTGCCAATAAGTTCGGTAACCCATCTTGGGATGTGGATAAAAATTTCAAAGCCCATCTAATCTTACAGAAAATTTTTCATGACCCACCCAATCGAAATTGTGAAAACTTTTATAATAAAAGGTCTGAAAATTGTAAATATATACCGGCACTATATTGACATACATAATTCCACCAAGCTGGTTGTATTTGCTGTGATTCGACCACTTCTTGTTGTTGTATAAACAAAGTACTG